AAATTTTTCATTTATTAAAACTTATTTCAAAAAAAAAAAAATAAATAAAAATATATTTTTTTCTATAAAATATATCTTAACACTAAAAGTTAAAAAGTCAATAAAAAGTTTTACCGCTGAAGTACGAATACGGAACCATACCAAAAGTCATACCAAAGTATTTCAAATATTTATTAATAATTTATGAAACAAATGTTGCCACAAATTTAACACCAACACCAACAGCAATAACAAAAACAACATCAACAACAATTTCAGTAAAAAAATTAAATAAAAATTTCATTATAATGCACACTCATTAATGAAGCTCATAAAAAATGAGTGTAAATATAATAATATTGTTAATATGCATGCAACATATTGTATGAGTGCCAGTACGAGTCGAGTATCTATAGAATGCCGCATTCTCTCCGCATTCTGTTTCTGTTTGAGATACGAAGGTGTAAGCAGATTTGTTTGTGGTGCAATTATGCGCGTATCATTAACACCATCTGTGGTGGAATAATCGCACATTTAATTGAAAAAATTTCTTTGCAATTGAAAGCTTGTGAAAACAGATTAGCATTCTTGTATGCAAATTGAAAACAATTGCAGATATGTGACAATAATGTGAGATAAATATCCAGATAAATAGGTCATATAGATGTGCTTGAGATGACAGAAATACTGAAGTATATACGTATACTTATGGAGTGATACATATAACAGCTGTTAATATGCAGTATATAGTCTAATAAAACTGTGGAACTAGTAGTAGAATAGTTTTAGATTAGTCTACATATTTTAATAATAGGTGTACATTGACTTCTATGGTCTACTTTAGTGGTTACACCAGAAAAATTGTTACCTTATTTTTAATAAATAGAAAATGTAGTTTTATAAGTTGAGATATAGAATGCTAAAGATATATGCATCTCAAAACATCATTTTCAATATATGCAAATATAAAAGATGTCAGAGAATGGTATATCTAAGAAAATATATATTCTTACCGAGAAGAAAGTTAAAGAACTATGTAAAATTTCTAAAAACTGTAGAACTTAACTTAAACTTAATAATACACATTTCCTTAAATTCGTTTTCTCAACTTTCGGATCTATAAGTAATAAAGTGTTAATAAAGTGTAAATAGCATAAATTATTATAGATAGAAAGTAAATTCTTCATATAAACTATTGTTTTCAATCAGAGTTCGTATTTGCCTACTCATGAGCGGCTTATTACTGCACATTATACTCACGCTCATGAGCAGTTCTTTAATATGAGATAATTAAAGGTTCACGCTCATGAGCACCTCTTCAATATGAGTGTAATATTTCGCTCATGTTCATGTGTATGTACTTCTTATGAGTAAGCAAATACGAATTTTGTTTTCAATAGTGAGATTTTTATCGAATAATTGTAAATTACAATACAAATATTTTTATTATTTTTAATTAAATGAATTTCTGGTTGACCATACAGCAGTTTTGAGTATTGACAATTATCCTTAATTAATGGATTTGGAATTATTTTTTATGAGTACATAATTATTCCTTAAGGATTTCTTTATACTGCAAGTACAAGGGTTGATCTCATGCAAGGGTTGATCTCATGCTCTGTCAAATTTATAGCTCAGAATCAGTGTTTATTAGGAAATTGACTCAAAGCCGTACTTGACTTGTATGTTCGAACTTGGAGTTTTGTTAATTTACTGTAAAAGTTCATTAACAAATTTACTTGCTGTGTTATATTAGAATGAAAATAAGTATATATTTATTTTTAAATGTTAAATTTCAATAGCATAACAACAGCTATATAACTGATAGCCTTTAGTTACGTTTTATACTCGCTAATGCCTAAATCGGCAATGATTTTGAAATTTCAGAAAACAATTTTTTTTCTCAGTTAGAGTTCATTTTCTATTTTGGTAAGCTCGAACATTAGCTGTTTGGAACAAAAACCCAGTTTACTAACTTATCGAATCATGTCCGAGTTATTTGTATCTCTTGCCACATATACAGTAGCTTATTTTCTATAGTTTATTTTGCGTATGGAAAAGCTTTACGCCCTAAATTTCTATTTAGTAGGAATGGAAGAGTTCTTCAATTAATAATAGTCTGAATTTAATTGAACAGCGGTGGAAAGGTTTAATCTTCAAATTTTAGTACGCATTTATTTTTAATTCAATATATTAGGTGATATAAAAAGTATCTACCAATACTATGGATATATGGATATGTATCTGATATCCATATATCTAGCAACTATTACTAGATTTTGTTAAAGAACTATGCATTTGAAATGTGATATACATATATTGTCTGTTATTAAAAAGTGTGGTTTTTCTAAATCGCATATACTTTATATCTTTAAGAATTCATTAAAATTAATTAAAGGAAATAATGAACTTACTGTATTTAAGACAAAAATTTGAAGTTTCTTATGTTAAAAACATATTTTTTTAAAAGTTAGACGGATTCGAATAGTAAAGAAAGGACAAAGACAAAAATTTTTTATTTTTAATTTATTGAAATTTGGCTGACCATACAACGCTGTTTCGAGTATTGCCAATATTTTTTTTTATTTTCTTAAAAATACAAGTTTTTATATAATAAGTTATTATAGTTTTATATTATATTTAAATTTCACTTTAATATTTCTTACAAAACCTTATATAACTAAATTAAT